GTGTCGTTTAAGCTTGAACGTGCCATGCTCAACTCAACTACGAGACGCAGTCACGAGTCCTACGCACTGTGCCATCTTAAATACTATGGAGTCTTGACCTGCTTAAATGGTCTCCCTAACACTAGAAACAAAGGGTGGTGTAATAATACTGCGACCGATCTTACACTACCACAGTTTCCTACAAAAGTGCGAAATGAATTTTTTTGTGCGCCTTAACCGTTGAAATTTGGTATAATTTATAACATCTAATATTATGTATCAACGGCGGTATCGAAAGCTCCATAACATCGGGGTTATGTTTTCGATTTTAATAATTTTTTTGCCTTTATATTGCACGTTTCCACCATTAAAATCTTGTATCATTAATTTTTAATATTATATGTTCATAGTTCTATTTGCGCGTTTCATTTAAACTTATATTTGTCCCATGCTTAATCTGAAAATTTTTGTTTTCATGTATCAGTGCAAAAAATCAGGTCTGTCGGTAGTCTTCCACAACCAATAAACCTTGAACTTTCTAGAATTTTGCTGGAATTTGTACCTATGCATCGCGAGAAACGGTACAACTTGTCATTGATGCAAAATTGGCGTGATCGAAACAGGTCACGGGTTTTTGCACAATGAGAAAACGTCTTGATAGGGTACACATCGAGCAGCGACATTTTTGACTGTTCGTCGCCAGAATTAATCACTGATCATGTTTCTAACATGTTTTTTGGAACTCTGCTGCTGACGCCTTCGTTCATATTTACGCCGAGGGACTCTGCAAAACTTTTGAACAGTTCGACCAACGTCGATACCCCGCCCCCTGCCTGATACCGATCAAATGTACACTGTTTATAAGCTAACTTTAATCTCATATAGCCAATAACAGCCCCCCTCCGGGCAAAATGTCTCGATGAAGGCGACAACACCCTTGATCTGCCGTCTTCACCTGATTGGTCGAACGTTACAACACCGACAGTGTGGAAAACTTGGCAAAAATTGCAAATATTTTTCCAGCAACACTGTGCCTGCTTTCAAGGTAGAAAACTTCGTCGGCAACAGATGCATCTGAGTGATGTTTACCACGGAGGTAATTTTAAGTATGAATGAAAAACCTAGTTTGCTGATTCTTAATATTCTTAGAAAATATGCAGCGAAGCATCACAAAGCGGTGGGGTGCCTTGCGATCACGGCTGCTTACCTTCCAGCGATCCGTTTACTGTCTTTGACACGTGGTTTAAAGAGGCCGTTAAGCACTCCGTCATGGAACCAAATTCGTTCGCTCTCTCAACTGTTGGACAGTAAAATTCTTTTATCGCTTTCACATTCACTTCGTTTATACGTGCCGGTGATCCTTTTGCAAGTAGTATGCATTTTAAAGAACAGTTCAAGTGGATTTTAAGCAATTGTGTATGATCAAAGCTCACAAATATTAACTTACTTCAACATATTTTTTTTCAATCATGTAAATACTATGGGTCAGATTCAGGAAAAACGTAAACATCGTTGAATCCGGAGCAAGATCCACGGCAATCTTGGATTTTAAGCTAGCGAGTTGCCTGAGGGTAGGCATGGTTTAAAGTTGCTTAAAAAC